TGTGTGTGTGTGTCCTCAGTGTCTCTCCTCTCCTCCTAGTGTCCTCCTACCCCCCTTACCCCCGCTAGTGGCCCGGAAAACAAGAGCGTGACCTTTAACCTTTGACCTCACCTCGGCTTGGCTTGATGATGATAAATAATTCGTGATCCTTGGGAGGTCGGTGGGAGGTATACAGGAACAGGACGAAAGGTCACGACTTGACACGACCCGAGAATACCTGTGTGACCTGACCTGACCTGACCTGACCCTGGATGATGGATGATGATATGGATGATTGGTGTTTATAAATAGGTAGATGATGTATTTAGTGTTGGCTAATGTTTTCTTGGTGTGTTCCCCACCCCTCCACAAGTTTCCCTAACCCCCCACTCCCTACCCCCCCTACTTACTTCCTCCTCCATCCCACCCCTACCTGCCTTTTTACAGATCAAGTGAGGTGTAATGGTATTTTTTTATCTGAAAGGGGGAGGAAAACAAATAGGGGGAAGAGTAGGAGTGAGGAGGAAGGTGGTGGGAGAGAAATGGAGGGAGGAGAAAGGAGGGGTGATAGAGGGATGGAGACAGTGGATGTTAAGCCCTCTTCCCCCAAATGGTGGATAGATAGTATAGGAATTTTAAGATAGATAGGTGAGGAGAGAGAGAGAGAGAGAGAGAGAGAGAGAGAGAGAGAGAGAGAGAGAGAGAGAGAGCTATCTGCACTTTTTCAAAACACACACACACACACATCTGACCACCGTGAGTCAAGACCTATTCAGCCGCTGCTCCTGCTGAGCAGCTGCTCTTAGCCAATGTTCGGCTCATTCCCCAAGTCCCTCTCCCCGACCCATCCTCACCACCGGGATATCAACATAATCACAAGTGACAATTTCGTTTCGGAAAGAAGTGGGACCAGTGTTGAACAGTGATGAACAGTGTTTAAGCCAGTGAATTCAGCATTAGACACTACCAGTGAGAGCCGTGACCCACCAGTGAGATAAGCACCCTTGGGAACTGACCGCCATCTTCTGACAAGGAGGTGCTAATCAGTCCACCCTGGGAACAACAGTGGGTCGGCTTCACACCTGACTACGAGATAACACAACACCATCTAGCAGGGCGAGGTACTGACCACCCCACCACCCGGTGTCCCCATGACCACGTGAGGTCCTTCATATCAACACCGAGGACGAATTACTACCACGTGAACACCACACCACCTGGTGTCTCCATAGCCACGTGAGGTCCTTCATATCAACACCGAGGACGATTACTGCACCGTGAACACCACACCACCTGGTGTCTCCATGGCCACGTGAGGTCCTTCATATCAACACCTGAGGAGAGTTACTACACCAGGTGAACACCACACCACCCGGTGTCTCCATGACCAGCCCAGGCCCGAGCCATCAACTGTAAACTATAATAATTTGTTTGTTCAATCATTGTTCCTTCTTTTAGTAATGAAATTTTTGTTAAACGACCCACCCACCCCATGTCTTTGCATGTAATAAGTCATTTTTGTCCAATGTATATTTCAGCCTTCGGGCTGGAGAACTTTCAATAAACCGGTAATTATTAATTATTATTAGTATTATTACACACACACACACAGGGATGTTTATAATCATTTTTGGATTTAACATTTAGAGCAAAAAAACCCAAAAGGTCAATTGGTAAAGTTCATTGGGTCAGGTAGCACAGTGGAGGGAATAATTAAATGAGGCGGGTTATTACAGTTGTGGTGGTTGTTGTTGTTGTTGTGGGTTGTGTTATGGTTGTAGGAGTCTGTATAATGTTGTTTGGTTATTTTATGTTATGGTTAGGTTGTGATGTGTTATGTTAGGGTTAGGTTATGTTAGGTTAGGTTAGGTTATGTTAGGTTATGGGTAGGTTGTGATGTGTTATGGTTGTGTTGTGTTATGTTAGGGTTAGGTTAGGTTATGTTAGGTTATGTTAGGTTAGGTTAGGTTATGTTAGGTTAGGTTAGGTTGTGATGTGTTATGGTTGTGTTGTGTTATGGTTAGGTTAGGTTATGGGTAGGTTAGGTTATGTTAGGTTAGGTTATGTTAGGTTATGTTAGGTTAGGTTATGTTGGGTTATGGGTAGGTTGGTGTGTTGTTATGGTTGTGATGTGTTATGTTAGGGTTGGGTTATGGTAGGTTAGGTTAGGTTATGTTATGTTATGTTGGGTTATGGGTAGGTTATGGGAAGGTTGTGTTGGCTGATGGTGTTTTTGTTTACTGCTGGTGTGACTGAAGTTGTTATTGTTGTGTTTGTTGGAAGTGTTGGTGTAGTTGTAAACGATAATGCATACAACTCACAACAACCACACACTACACCATCATACACACACACACACACACATTCACCCCTCATACACTCCTCATACACCATCATACACCTTCATACCTTCATACGCCTCATACCCTCTTATCCCCTCATACACTCTCATACACCTTCATACACCCCTCATACACCCATCATACACCCCTCATGCACCACATACCTTCATACACCACATACACCTTCACACCCTCATACACCACCACAGACACCTTCATACACCCTCATACACACTCATACACCCCTCATACACCCCTCACACACCATCACATACACCCCTCATACACCACCACATACACCATCATACACACGCACATACACCCCTCACACACCATCACATACACCCATCATACACCATCACATACACCCCTCATGCACCCATCACACACCCCTCATACACCACATACACCCATCATACACTCTCATACACCCATCATACACTCTCATACACCCCTCATACACCCACATACACCCTATAGCCACACAACATACAAGCAATACCTACACAACCCCTTTAGAATGACATATACTCCCCTCTCCCCCTCCCCTTCACACATCCCCCTTCACCACCTCCACCCCCGGGCTGGGGTATACAAGGCTGTCACTGTAAGGGGGGGGGAATCACATCACCCTCCTTCTCCTCCTCCCCCTGTCAAGGTGTCGAGGCCCAGACATGGCTCCTTTAGGAACAGTTGCTTGGCCTTTCTTCTTTGTTACCCAGGGTGTCTGTGTCTGTCTGTCTGTCTGTCTGTCTTGTGTGTGTGTGTGTGTGTGTGTGTGTATGTGTGTATGTGTTGTCCCCTTTCTCTTATGGTTTGTGTCTGTTTGTCTTTCTGATCTTGTCTGGTGTGTGTGTGTGTGTGTGTGTGTGTGTGTGTGTGTGTGTGTGTGTGTGTGTGTTTGTGTCTGTGTCTTGCTGTCTGTCTGCCTGTGTGTCTCAGTATAAGTCTGTGTGTGTGTGTGTGTGTTTATGTGTGTGTGTGTGTGTGTGTGTGTGTGTGTGTGTGCATCGTTATGTCTCCTTTCTTCTTGTCTGTCTGTCTGTCTGTGTATCTATGTCTGTCTGTCTATCTGTCTATCTATGTCTGTCTCTGTGTTTGTTCAGGGGAAAAAGATTTACTGTATTATGAGTAACGTTAAATAGATCCAGGGAAATCCTTTAACAGGTGAAATATATCGATAATTTATATCTATCATATTGTAATGCAGACAAACCCTGGAAGTATATTCATCAATAACAGATTAACACATACATCAATCTATTTTACAGTGAATAACACGAATGAAAAATATCCTCATATAAAACTTTAATCAGATATTTTTTTTAACAGATGAAAAACTGAAATGAAAAATATTAGTAAATAATTCTTGTCAGATATATTTCAACATCCTAAAAAAAATATAATTGGAACATATCACTATAAAAATTCTTAAATATATAACAAGTGAAAAATATCAATGAAAAATATCATTCAAAATATCTCAGCAGGTTAAAAATATTACCATAGAACACCAATGAAAAAAAATACTACTACACTAAAATCTTTTTCTTTTACTTAACTGAGAAACATGAATAGAAATATATATTGTATAGTGACTTAACATTAACTACTACGGTAATTCTTTCACAGCAAATATTCAAACACCAGAAATATACAGATGAATAATACTGAAATATACACCAATAACATATACCTATACAAACTAAAGATATATTTCTCTTGGTGATAGAAATATAATAACATAACTACTAATACAATGAAGAAATATATTATGGATGACATCAATTTATTCGCTGAAATATATTTATGGAACATCAATGAGTAAAACTGAACTGGAAAATATTTACCGACCAGGAATCTATTTACAGGTGGAATAAAAATATATATGAAAAAGATACATGAATTACTAATACTACCCAGAGATGCTCTTCTGGGTGAGGGATATTTATAGGGCTAAACAGAGGAAGATTTTAGGGAGGTCAGTTATTTTGAGGTCAATTATTTTAGGGGGTCAATTATTTTGGGGGTCAATTATTTCGGGGATCAATTATTTTCGGGGTCAGTTTTTAGGGTCAATTATTTTAGGGAGGTAAATTATTTTGGGGTCAATTATTTTGAGGGTCAATTATTTTAAGGGTCAATATTTTAAAGGGCCAGTTATTTGGGGGTCAATTATTTAGGGGTCATTTCAGGGATCAATTATTTTAGGGGTCAATTATTTTAGGGAGGTAAGTTATTTTAGGGGTAAATTATTTAAGGGGGGTCAATTATTTTAAGGGATCAATTATTATATGAGGTCAATTATTTTAGGGGTTAATTATTTTAAGGGTCAATTATTTTAGGGAAGTCAATTATTTAATGTCACAATTATTAAAGGGCCACAATTATTACAGGGAGTCAATTATTTAAGGAACAATTATTAAAGGGCCTACAATTATTACAGGGGTCAATTATTTTAAGGAAAATTATTAAAGGGCTACAATTATTCAGGGTCAATTATTTTAGGGTGATCATTTAATTATTTTAGAATGAAACACTAAAAAAAAAAAAAAAGACCGGAAATAATTAGTTTTTTCTTTCCGTTTTCTTTTTAAGGGTCCACTGAGTTAACTAAAACTGACCAGAGATTTGATATGTGTCTTAAACTCTGGTATGAATCTGTGTTATGTTACGTACCGGCATCACCCAAGTATGTGTTTACGTGTGTGTCTGTGTACCTGTCGATCACTTTGTCTTGAATGTATAAACCAGCTTGATGATAGAAGAGAAATGTGATAATAATAATAATAATAATACTTAGTTATATAGAGTTAGATTGACATTCTTATATTAATAACATATATACATACATATATACATGATGCATACCTAATAGTTAGTATAAAAAAACAAATATTTATTGAAGGGTAATTTATCATAGCAACTAATACTATAGAGAATTTATGACACAATGCAATTAGACTGGAATTTATGAATACATGCTTCTATTTATTTATTTATAACATAGAAACCAGAAGAAATTTTTATTTTAGTATTTCTAAAAAAAAAAATAGAATATAGCTATTTTAGGCCTAGTAATAGTATATACCCAAAAATTTGGAGTTTTTTAGGCCTATGTCATTAAACTTTGACCCATAGGTAAGCTCTATTCTCCTCTCATTGCTGATTGGCTGTTGGTTGCTAAGTCTCTCTCAGCAGCGGGCCAATCAACTATCACGAATCGTTGCTAAGGACGCCAACAGAGGTAAAGGGGCTCACTCGATTGGTCAAAATAACAAGGTATAGAACGTCATAGAGAAGATTACATATATCCCATCTTCCTGTCCGTCAGTTTTAAAAGGGCAATTACGTCTCGGTGGAATAGTTACTAAAACCCAGCCAGAAAAAGGGTGTAGTTTGAGGCGACCTTTGCTTTCCTGGGACCATTTGGTATTTTCCGGGGGTTAGCTTGGTGGTGATATGTGATGTTCCCCACCATGCTAGGTTGCTAGGTCAGGCTAATCCCCCCTCCCCTCCTCCTTCGCACATTATTCTTTTGATTATTTTATTTATATGGAATATTTTGTTTGTTTATTTTTCATATATTAAATTCAGTTTCTTTGATTTTTTTCTTCTTTATTCTGTCAGGAGGTGAACACACACACACACACACACACACACACACACACACACACACACACACACACACACACACACACACACACACACACACACACACACAACACACACACACACACACACACACACACACACACACACACACACACTGTTACACACATAAACACACACACACACACACACACACACACACACACACACACACACACACACACACACACACACACACACACACACACACATAAACACACACACACACACACACACACACACACACACACACACACACACACATAAACACACACACACACACACACACACACACACACACACACACACACACACACACACACACACACACACACACATAACACACACACACACACATAAACACACACACACACACACACACACACACACACACACACACACACACACACACACACACATAAACACACACACACACACACATAGACACACACACACACACACACACACACACACACACACACACACACACACACACACACACACACACACACACACACACACACACACACACACACACACACGTCAGCAGGCTGGTGGGTTAATCAGTCTTACTTGTCATTATGTCTTCAACTTGTTTTGATTGAGTCTTGACTACAAGTTTGGAGACTTCTATCCCCGTAGCGAAACTTCTCTCTCTCTGTCTGTCTATCTCTCCTTGCTAGTTTAGTCCTTAACCTCTGCTTAAACCCTGACCTTCTTCAGCGTTAACTAATCACCCAGAAAGGTGAGTGGTGAGTGTGACTTATTAGCACTGACTTAATACATCCTGTTGGGAGGTGGGAGGATGAGTGTGATAAGTGGGGAGGAGGGAGAGGGAGTGAGGTGGAGGAGTGAGGAGGAGGAGTGGGAGGAGGGGAGGAGGGGAGGAGGGTGGGAGGGTGAGTGAGGGGGTGGAGAGGGAGGAGTGGTGGAGAGGGAGAGGGAGGTGGGTGAGTGGTGGAGGAGGAGGGATGAGTGGGAGGAGTGGAGAGGGAGGAGTGGGTGGGTGGTGGGGTGGAGGAGTGGGAAGAGGAGAGAGAGAGAGAGAGAGAGAGAGAGAGAGAGAGAGAGAGGAGAGAGAGAGAGAGAGAGATTTGCATCATCGTCTTCGTTTCAACATGTAATTTATTCTCTTTTCATAACATATCTTAAATCTACCTGTGACTATTTCGGTCTTCATCTACTTCTATACATCATCTTCTACTTAAGGCTGTTCTATCATCTACTTAAGGCTATTCTATCATCTACTTAAGGCTGTTCTATCATCTACTTAAGGCTGTTCTATCATCTACTTAAGGCTGTTCTATCATCTACTTAAGGCTATTCTATCATCTACTTAAGGCTGTTCTATCATCTACTTAAGGCTGTTCTATCATCTACTTAAGGCTGTTCTATCATCTACCAATGACCTCACTCGTCTACCATCTACCTGTGAGAGGAGGGCATGTGACCTACCTGAATGACGTCATCGTAGTTAAAAGATGGAAGATTCAGGAGGCACATGCCTCACACACCAGGTTGGTCTCAGCCTGTACCTTGAGGTGTGTGGAGGAGCACCTTATCCTGGAGAGTTGGGAGGAAGAGATCAAAGGTTGTTAAGTCTGAGCGGGGTGAGGTGTTGGAGGGAGGTCGGAGGGTGAGGTGTTGGAGGGTGAGGTGTTGAGATGTGAAGTCACACTCAGATCGGGAAGGTCACTGAGTTGGGGGGGTGGGGTGTCAGTGGTCACATTGTTCTGATGAGAGGAGAGAGAGAGCCACCATGACATTGTGTTGCACGGAGCTTTAACATGACTCAACGCCCATCCCACTCCACATCCTATCACTACCCCACTCCCTCACAACATCCGCCCTCTCACCACTCACACCACTCAACCCACTCCCTCATCACCGCCCACTTTCACTTGCATGATCACTGGCCACCACTGCCCACTTATCATCCTTAGCAACCATTTGTAGAAGCTGATTGGTTGCTGGTGGTGGGCCTAGTTAGATACGCCTGGAAATAAACAACCATGTGTTGTGTGTGAGGGGTAGAGGTGGTGGTGGTGAGGTGGAGGAGATTGTGGGGAGGGTGGGTAGGGGTGGTGAGGGTGTGATGGTGGTGGTGAGGGGTGGGGGAGATGGTGGTGGTGATGGTGAAGGTAACGTATATAACTATAGTCTCAGGTCACTACGTCTGGTTCCTATATGACCTCTGGGTGATATATGACCTCTGGGTGATATATGACCTCTGGGTGGTATATGACCTCTGGGTGATATATGACCTCTGGGGTATATGACCTCTGTTATATGACCTCTGGGGTGGTATATGACCTCTGGGTGATATATGACCCTGGTGGTATATGACCCTGGGTGATATATGACCTCTGGGTGGTATATGACCTCTGGGTGGTATATGACCTCTGGGGTATATGACCTCTGGGTGATATATGACCCTGGTATATGACCTCTGGGTTGATATCTTCTGTGAGAGATATGACCTGGGTGATATATGACCTCTGGATATATGACCTCTGGGTGATTGACCTCTGGGTGATATATGACCTCTGGGTGATATATGACCTCTGGGTGATTGTTGTATGACCTCTATATCTTACCATTTTTTAAAACTCACCTACAATACTAATTCATTACCATAATTAATTGACTATTTGATTGCTTACCTGTAGACTTACTTTAATTTACTTAGTTTTAATTAATCAGCTGTAATACCTTAATTACTATTGCTTACCTGTACACTTACTTTAATTAATCTAACTTACTCTTATTAATCACTTTAAATACTTACTTATTAATTTACTCTTACACTTTTATTACTTACCTGTACACTTACTTTAATTTACTTACTCATAATTAATCACCTGAAATACTTCCTCTAAAACATCATATTATGGTCAACATTATTACTTTTAATCTTTTCATCCATCATTTACTCTAACTCTTACACACCTTACTCATTAATTATCTCCTCTTACTCACCTCTCCTAATGGCCTCCAGGTGGGTAGGAGGCCAGAGGATGTTCCTGATCTCCGCCATCCATCGCTGGCTCTCCGTTTCACTCTGGCCACTCAGGTACAGTAGAGCCTCACCTCGTCGTCCACATCCTCAAGGCGTAGGGGTGTGACCTGTTGGGGTGAGGGAACGACAGGTGAGGCAGGGGGTTTTGGAGGGGGAGGGGGAGGGGAGGTGAGGGAGGTGAGGAGAGGGTGGAGTTTGACTATTTTTCTGTCTGTCTGTCTGTCTGTCTGTTTGTCTGTCCTTGTCTGTCTTCTTTTCTGTCTCTGGTTCTCTCTTCGGTATTTCCCATCTCATTTTTTCCGATATATTGCCTCTCACCACCAGCATCACCAACAACACCACCATCAACCACCACATCAACCACCACCATCACCACCCCATCAACCCACCATCAACCACCACCATCAACCACCACCATCCTCAACCACCACCATCAACCACCACCATCAACCACCACCATCAACCAACCATCAACCACCACCATCAACCACCCATCCTCAACCACCACATCAACCACCACCATCAACCACCATCCTCAACCACCACCATCAACCCACCATCCTCACCACCACCATCAACCACCACCATCCCCATCCTCAACCACCACCACCACCATTCCACCACCACTCCATCTTCTCCACCTTCTCCACCTCCTCCTCATCCTCCTCACAAACACCATTTTCCTTTTATTTTAGACTTTCCTTCCTCCTTCCCTCCCTCTTTCTCCCTCCCCTCTTCCCCTCTCTCCCACCCCCTCAAAAACCCACCTCACATTTTTTCTATTTTCATTGTGTAGTTTTGGGGGTCATGAACTGGCTTTCTATTTTCCTCCAATAGTTTTTTTTTTTCTGTTTTGAACTCTGGGCGAAACGGTGATTGGGGTTGGTGGGATTGTGGGGTTGTGGATTGGGGTTGTGATTGTGTTGGGTGTGGATTGTGAGTGGTGGTGTTGTGATTTTGGGATTGTGTTTTGAGATTGGTCGTGTTGTTATTATTTAGGTTTTTTAAGGGTGTGTGTGGGTGGGTGGTGTGTGTTGTAGATGGATGGTGGGTAGGGGTGGGCAAGGGGTGGGTAGGATGAAACTCATAAAAGAAGAAGTTAAAAATAAATAAAAACGAAGTCTCCTCTCTCTTCATACTCTTTTTACCCCATGCATTAATAAATTGGTTGTTTTGGCACAACGAGGGAGTTGATGAGTAATTATCGATTTGTGGAGACCACACCTGGTATATTTCAACCCGTAATTAGGGAACGTCATGCCATTATTCTACCAAAGGGTCTTTTTTTGTGGTGGTATAATTGGGAGATATCCCTAAATTGGTTTATAGGGTTAGGTTGGGTTTGGTTGTTTTGGTAGGTTTGGTTGGTTTGTTGGGTTTGGTTGGGTTTGGTTGGGTTTTGGTTGGGTTTGATGGGTTTTGGGTTGGGTTTGGTTAGGTTTGGTTAGGTTCAGATTCGTTCATTTTATGGGGAGGGAGATGAGGGAAGGAGGGGAAGAAGGGGAAAGGGTTAGGGAGGGAAGAGAGGTGGTGAAAGGGGAAAGGTTGGGGATGAAGAGGGGGATAGGGAAGGGGTGAAGGGAGAAAGAGGGAAAGGGGAAGGGGAGGAGATGGGAAGTAACAGGTAGACCACAGTTATAAGGTTGACAGGTATGAAAGCCGTGCCACAACCCTGATGACGAGAGGGAGGGTTTTTTTTTACGGGCCTGGGGGCGAAAATTTAATAATAATAATAATAATAATAATAATAATAATAATAATAATAATAATAATAATAATAAAGAAATACAAAATGAGACAAAGATTAATAGTGAGAAACAATATATGTATGTGTTGTTGTCAATATAAGAGAAACAATTGAGACCCTTCAATTGTGTGTAAATGAGGCAGAAAGTTAGATTGGCAACCTGGGGCTTGTTCATAATTGACCTTTTAATGAGTGGACCTTCTGTGACCTTCTTAGTGTGGCTAGTTGACCTGTGTTTCTTCCTCCTCCTCTTCCTCATGCTCCTCTTCCTCTTGTTCCTCCTCCCTTATCTCTCCCTCTTTTCTCGCCTCTTCTCTCCCTCGCCCTGGCCTTCATCTCACCTCTCCCTTCCCTCCTTGCTTCTTCCTCACCTCTCCCCGCCTCTTCCTCACCTCTCAACTCTCCCCTCACCTCCTCACCTCCCTCGCCTCTCCCTCACCTCTCACCTCCCTCGCCTCACCTCCCTCCTTCAGCCATCGCCTCCCTCACCTCCCACCTCCTCGCCTCCTCACCTCCCTCGCCTCCCTCACCTCTCACCTCCTCCTGAGCGAATATTGAGTAAAGCCACTTACTGAGATAGTGTGGAGCTGCATACTAACACAACCAGGGATCTCTCTCTCTCTCCCCTCTTTGTGTATCACCTTACTGGGGGTGAGAGGAGGGGGGGGGGAGGAGGAGGTGTGCCTAAAGGATAGCTTCTGACATGCACTGTGTTGTTCATTTCTTCCTGTATTGATGAGTACTTGCTCGTTGGTAGGCCTGCATCCCTCCCCCTCACCCCCTCTCCTCACACCCTCACCCTCTACTCCCTTCACTACCCTACCCCTCCTCACACACCCCTCACCCCAACATACCCTAACCTCCCCACACCCCCCCACCCTCACCCTTTACTCCCTCACTACCTTACACCCTCACCTCCTCACCTCCCCTCACTCCCCGTCACATCCCTCCTCACCTCACCTCCCCACACCCCATACCCCACCCCCCCACTATGAGGCGTGAGGGTAAAGTTGAAATCACAGTCAGTGGGTCAAATGGTCACTTGATCTCAACATCCCTTCCCTCCCCCTTCCCTCCCTTCCCACTCCTCCAGGCCCTTCCCCTCCCTTCCCTACCCCCCAGCCCTTCCTCCCTTCCCTACTCCCCAGCCCTTCCCTCCTCCACCTCCAGTCTTCCCCCTCCCCCCTCTCCTTTCTCCCCTTCCTCACCTACTATTGTGAGGAAGATCTCTCTCTCTCTCTCTCTTTGATTAAGGAGGTCACAGGTCAAGGTCATTTTGTTTTTTGCCGTAAATTGAGATCATCTGGAGGTTAGGCAGTTTAAATAAGGTTTGAGGAGGTGTGTGTGTGTGTGTGTGTGTGTGTGTGTGTGTGTGTGTGTGTGTGTGTGTGTGTGTGTGTGTGTGTGTGTGTGTGTTGTGTGTGTGTGTGTGTGTGTGTGTTGAAGCACTAATAATCAATCCATCCAGCTTGAATGATCAGCTGGGAAGTTCAGAGGTCAATTATTCCGCCATTCTTCACACGAACATAGAGGTTGTGTGGACTATTGCACGCGCGTGTGTGGGGGTACACACACACACACACACACACACACACACACACACACACACCCATCCGTTCATAACAACGTAATAAAAACAAGTTATATAATATTTAACACAATATCCTGCAGAGTCCCAGCTGAATGAAAGACCAACGGTTCCACTAATGAATTTATGTGTCAGAGTACGTTGCCAGAGTACCAATATCGCTAGAGTACGTTG